CGGCTCTCCCTCCGCGGCAGCTTCCGGAGGGGTTTGCTCCCGGCGGCGTCGGGGCTCGGTCTCTCCCCAGGTTTGGTCCTCGCCACATCCGGGCCGAGTCGGTGATGCTGCGGCGGTACAACCTCAGCACCGGGGCCGCCCCTTTCGATTCCCTCCTGGTCGCCGACGTCGGGGACGTGAACGTGAACCTCTACAACCTGCCCGACAGCTGCCGGCGCATCCGCGAGTGCTACGGGAAGATAGTGGCCTCTGGCTGCGTTCCCCTCACCCTGGGTAAGGCGCCGCGCCGGCGCGGTCTCCGCTGCTCGTTCAAACACCGGTGCCATCAGCAGCGTGCTTTTGGTACCCTAGGAGCCAAAACAAGAGCAGTTTATGTCCCTCGGCAAAGTTTCAGGCTTCAGTGAGCTCCCCGCAGAGCGCTGTTCTGCAGGGGACGAGGTTTGGACATGTGCGGTCGCGTTTCCAGCGGTCACAGCTTCGCGTAGCTAATCGAAGCAAGTGTCTGCAGCAACAAGGGGGAATTCCCAGGAACGGTGCTCTGCGATGTTTTGCTTCCATGCATCACGCCTCTATTTATAACCCTTGCCAAGGGCTTCTCTCGAGGTGCCCGGCGACCGCCGCCCTCGCCAGTGGGGTTGGATCTCGCGTCCGTTTTTAGCCCTCTCGTTTACCTGAGGGAGAAAGAGGAGCGAGGAAGGAAGCCGCGCCGAGCAGCCGCAAGCTTTCATTAGTGAGCGCATCCTTGCCGCTCCGTGGCACGGACACAAGCGCAGGGGGAAAAAATTGCCCGCAAAGAGTTAACGGGTGCTGAGCAACGCGTGTCACCTGTACCCTGTCCTGTTGCAGGTGGAGATCACACCGTAACATACCCCATCCTGCAGGCCGTGGCGGAAAAGTAAGTCTCAGCCATGAAAATGCGGAATAAGGAGGTGCCTGAGAGTAACCGAGCCCGTGCGGGGACAGCAGCAACGTCACCCTGGAGCTGCAGCAGCTCCGCTCTCCTGGGCTTTTAGGGGCCGGTGGCCAACGCTCCTGTCCCCGTGTTGCTGACCCACCTGTGTGGTCCCTGCTGGCATCTTAAGTTAAAATCCTCTTTTTTTTTTTTTTTGAATATTGCAAAAAGCTTTCCCTGCTCTGTCTCTTGTTCTCGTCGCTGCAGAAGTAATTGGTGGTGTACGAACTGCTCGTTACCTTCCTGAGCCCACAGTATTAACAACGCAGCAGCTCTTGACAGGGAGGGATGGGACTGTGCAGCAAATGAGCTGCTCTTTGGGCTTTAAACCTGCCCTTGGGAAGGCGCCGGGGGTCGCGCTAACGTCCTGCCCTGCCTCGGCCAGGCACGGCCCCGTGGGGCTGGTGCACGTGGACGCTCACGCCGACACCGGCGACGTGGCCCTGGGGGAGCGGATCTACCACGGCACCCCGTTCCGGCGCTGCGTGGAGGAAGGGCTGCTGGACTGCGGGCGGGTGGTGCAGATCGGCCTCCGGGGCTCCTCCTACACCCCCGATCCGTACAAGTGAGCTCAGAGGCCGCCCCGGTGCGGGGGTCAGTAACGCGGGGTGGCTGCCTGTTGGCGCATCCGCAGGGTTTCCGAGTCGTCCTGGCTGAAGACTGCTGGATGAAGTCGCTGGTGCCGCTGATGCAGGAGGTGAGGAAGCAAATGGGGGACAAGCCTGTTTACATCAGTTTTGACATCGACGGCCTCGACCCTGCGTACGCCCCGGGAACGGGGACGCCCGAGATAGCCGGGCTCACGCCCGCCCAGGTAAGGGGGGGGTCGCGGCTTCGTTTCTGCACCTAAGGGTGACCTTGCTCCTCCCAAAGCCGGGGGCTGAGGAGGTCAGGGACCATTAGCCAGAGATCTCAGGAAAGAAAACACTGAACTGATGTAATTTGGGCTGTACAGGCTGCGTCATCGCAGCCTTCGCTTCAAGGGGAAAGAAGAACCCGAAGCGGTTTGCTGCATCCGATACGTTCCTTGATCCCAAATCGATTTCCTTCCCAGGCTTTGGAGATTATTCGTGGCTGCAAAGGCCTGAATGTAGTGGGATGTGACCTCGTTGAAGTGGCACCAATATACGATGCCTCCGGTGAGTCCAACGAAACGCTCCTCCGGGAGGGTGCAAGCTGCCTTGTGCGCTGGTAGGCGACGGCATCCCAAGCTGTTACCCTGGGGAGATGCCATCTAGCGTCAAAAGCAAACCAGCAGCCCTAAATTGCTGTCTGTGACAGATGTCGTGGCGGGGATTGCGCTGGGAGGATATTTAAGGAAATGAAAAGCAGCGCTTAGCAATACAGCAGCTGCCGCTGTGGAGCATTTCTCCGGGCGCAGAGAAACACTTTCTCAGGAGACCTCAGCCAGCGCGAGGGTTGGGAGCTGGCAGCGGTGTGGAGCTTCAGGAGCCTCAAAGTGGGGGGGGAAAAAAAGTGCCAGTTAAATGGACCAAAAGAAAACCCAATTAATTTAAACTAATTCATCATATCAGGCTGGTGGAGAAAGCGCTTCTACCAGGCGATGGCTGCTGCGTAATCCTGCACGGGGCTCACGTACTGCGGGAAGCAGAGCCAAGCGCTCAGCGCCACTAAGGGAATTGGCTTTGTCACGCGTATTCGGAGACATGCAGGGTCCATCCAGGGCAAGGCGGGAGCTTTTTTCTTTTAACCTTGTTCTCCGGCTCATGGCTCCCTGTAGTCCATCCCGAGGGCTTGGCCAAGGCCAGGCGTTAGCACCACGTAGACTGAAAAATTAGAGGCTGAGATTGCCGCGGCTCTGCGCAAAACCCCGGCAGGGTGGGGAGGTAAAGAGGCTTCACTGCCACGTAACGGTCATCTTGGTGACAGCCGTGGGGCTCGGTGGACGAGCACGGGAAACGCCTGCCAGCAGTAGGACTCTCGTAGGGTGGGGAGGTAAAGAGGCTTCACTGCCGCGTAACGGTCATCTTGGTGACAGCTGTGGGGCTCAGTGGACGAGCACGGGAAACGCCTGCCAGCAGTAGGACTCTCGTCCCGTGTGAGAACAAGCCAAGAGTAACTGGCTGAACGCATAGGTGCAAGCAGCAGGGCATTCATCACTTGGTTTTTTTTCTTCTTCTTCTTTTTGTAGGTAACACGGCCCTCTTGGGGGCCAATCTGCTCTTCGAAATGTTGTGCGTTCTTCCCAAAGTGAAAACCGTGTAAGGCCAGTGGCTGCCTCACCCCAGACTTCTTTGCGACCCGTCGCGGTAAAACACAGAACGGACAAAGATGCCGTAATGGACCTTGGTCGAGGCGATCAGCCATCAGTGTCCTGTCCTCCACAGCCAGCTGCAGTTAATGAGCGCTTTCCAGTAAGGAATAAATGTCATTTACCGCTAGAAGAAGTGATTTCAAGCTTATATGCTGTAGGTAGCAGATGGGTTGAACAACCCATTTACTGGTGTGAGTAGGGTTGTTTTGGGCTTTCTCAGTTTGGGGGGGGGGGGGGGAGGGCTAATGGCGCTTTGCCTCTGCTTTCCCCATCTGAATTACTCACCCAGCAGCCAGTGCTCATAGATGATCTTTAGGCAACTGCCATCAGTAGAAGTTTTTTTCCCATTAAGAGCAGATACAGAAGCAGGACTGACGTAGGGTAACGCCGGGTAGCTGGATGTGTTCTGTGGATAGTTCGATGTTGCGGAAGGGGAAAAATCTTGGGTCCTTGTTAAATGACAAAAATGGCAGCGTTACCTCCAAGTCAGGGCTGAGGACTGAAGCTGAGCGGATCGAGTTCAGATCTCACCGTAAGCAATGACTCGAGCCTGCGCGCTGCATCACCTGGGGCCTTCGCGTCCTGGCTCTACAGGATTCATTCAGGAACCCCAGGAACGATCCTTAGGAGAGCAGAGGGTATTTTAATAAACGTAGCAGCCTGTTTTCCTGATGGGGATGATGGGGATAACCAGGCCCTTCCCTCATCTGACTTCTTGTGTTCAAGGAGTCGTTTAACAGTCCCTGGGTTTCTGAACTCACATTGAGATGTTACCAGTTTGTATATTAAAACACAAAGCCACCTCATCACACATTAAAATAGTTTATTTTGGTTGCGAATCTATAATAGTCTTAAAACAAAATGACATCAGTGCCTGTTCACAAATACAAAAAACAAAAATAAAAAAGACAAGTTTGCCAAATAAGTTAATCCCCCCCCCCCAGTATCAAAAGTGCAAAATATGTACCTTGTTTTCAGTCCAATTTCTCAGGCTGTATGAGCGTATTAGTTCCTGGCAGGCTTTCAGTGAACAGAAGAGCGTGGAGTCAGCCAGCCACGGAAGGCTGCTGCCTACCACCCTTCATAAAGGGAAGGGTTTTAGTACAACCTTTAAACTCTAGGCCTGTATCCCTTTGTTGTAAGGATGTTTTGTTTCAGCTTCTAAGCTGCGCGTGCATGTTTGCTTGGTTTTTCAATAGAATAGTGCATTAGGACTGAATTTCCTCAATCTTTGGATTACGAACCACCATGTGCATAACAGAGTAGCAAGTGCATTTCACGATGATATATTATGATAACGGGTTGAGCATGAAGGCTGCTGAAGGCAGGTTAGAAATTTGGAGGGGGGGGGTTCATGGCTTGCAACCGCTGGGAGAAGGCAGCGAGATCTCGGTCGTAAGCAGCAGCTGAAGGGCCTCTGACCATGCTCTTTTACGACAAATAAAGCACCCGACGCCACGTGATGGGCAGCACAGCTAGCAAACTGATGGTTTTAGAACAGTTTGCCATTTGCTTCAGCCCATGAAAGAAATTTTTCCCACAGAACAGTGATATGAGGGTGCTGTACTTCTACAGCTGAGTTAGCCTGACCTGGTTAAAAACCATTTACATCAGCAATCACAACTAAATGGGAGCTAGAGTCCCATCCAGCCACAACTGGCAAGGGCGGGATTGCTGCAAGTGCTTCTTAAACAGAACTCAGTCTAAAAGGGAAGTTCACTGTACTAAAAATAGAAATGGATTCCAACACCTGGGCACCACAAATTGTATTTTGAAGGCCATAAGGCCTTATCTTCTTACCCTGGGCAGGAGTGAATTCCCTTGCTGCAGCACAACTAGGCACTTCTTTGATTGTTGAGTTTTCTCCTGGTTCCTGATTAGCTGAAGAGACAGCAAATGGGTGATCCTCACTCACTACCAAAGAACAGTTTCTTGCTTTTACAAACATCTAACAGTTATATGGAGTCTTCCACTTGATGGTTTTCCACTCAGCTACAGCCTTATTCTAGCCATGTCCTACAAAGCAAGCTTCGGGAAAAGCACAAGAGCGCTACAGTAATTGTTCAAGCCAAATGAAATAAAGTCTAGCAAAGCCAGGCTGACATTTCATCCCTCCTCCCTCTCTAACTTCAGCAATAGGCGTGTGCCTCATTGCTCTCATTCTGGGGGTAGCCTTGGCCAGGAGAAGACCTATCCTTCCTTGCCGTTATCTTAGTGCTTCTTTCATGCAGCAACACAAGCTGCAGCCCAGAGTCCACTGACCTAATTTAAGTAGCCTCACGTAAGGTCCGTTGGTAGTATCTTAGCCTTTATTTATAAGTACATTATACATGTCGTTTGAGATATCTACTGGTGGTCGAAGCATGCCAATCTGCTGCCAGCGCAGGGCGGAATGCAACAAGCCACGATTTTGTGAGCGACTAGGTAATTTGGGCAGTGCAATGACTTGAGCATTCCTGGATCTCAATTGGGGTCAGCAGGTATCTCAGAGAAGGGCATATTTATCCATAATAACTGGCTGCTCTGGTATGATGGTAAATAAGGCGGCAAGGGTAGAGTGAGCTTGCAATTAACACCGCCTGCTTGGAAGAAGTGCTTTACAATAAGGTTCAGAGCCCTAATGTAAAGTCCACCCAGCAGAGAATTTCCTAATTTAGCAGTCACGTAGCCTAACGGCAACTTACTATTGTGGAAGTCTTTCGCTCCTACGCAGAGTGCTTGGAAGAGTTTTATACAGAGAGACGCAGCAAGTAGCAGCTAAGGAAACGGTGTCTCCACAGGAGCCAAGGACAAGGAAGTAAAAGCACCACAGGATTACAGTCCCGGCTGTGACACAGCCTGCTGCTTCCTACCTGTAGAGAAGGCCACCCTTTCCCCCCCGGCAGCGTTCAAAACAGCCTCTGGAGCACTGTTTGAGCAAAGCCTAAACCCAGCTCTAGAACTGTTCTAACCTTACGCAGACAAAGTGTTTAAAAAGAAAAAAAAAACAAAAACAAAACACAAGGCAGCCCGCATGTTGAGAAACAAAGGTTTGTGGCAAGAATGAAATAGCTGAGATGCTGAAACCAAGCATCTAAAACCCACGCCTAAAACAAAACTAGTTTCACACATAAGAGACGGTCTGATGATACAGCACTTCTGGGGCAACATTTCGAGAATACAATCATTGAAAAATTAAGTTCCTTGATACAAAGAAAGGTTGGTTTGTACTACAGATGTAACATTGTTTGAAAGGAGTCCAAACTGACTCCCTAGCAGCTATTTAAAGTTTCTTTTACATATCTACTGGCTGGTAGCAGCTTATGCCTACAATCTGAGGACACAGTTAAAGTTATGGCTCTAAGATACATAGTCTAAAATTGACAGAAGCAGAAAGGCATCTGAAAAACAATGTGACATTTAAATGGCTCAACACCTTTACAGTATTTAGGGCTGTGCAAAACCCCTTCCCTCCCTGGTTACGGTTTAGCTGGTGAAGCTGCACGTGGAACTACTACACAAGGAGCATGAAACATGCAGATCGCCTACTAGCCCGCACCACAGGTAAGTCCCAGCTACAGGTTTGCTACAAGGGAGATGCTCCCAACCATATTCTAGATCACTTACCACAGGGAAAGCCGATAAGAAGGAACACCTGGTAGGAGGCCTTTCAGAACTGCAGAGCCTGGGAGGGTCTGTGGGGTCTCGCCAGTGTTACACCATGCACCATGGGCTAAGCATGGGGAAAAGGAGAGAAACCGCAACCTGACCTGCCTAACAGGCTACGTTCAGTCCGGACGGAGTCACCGCAGCAGAGAAGTCGCAGGTTTTCGTCAGCTAAGGTGAGATGGAACAGAGGTGACTCAGGAAGCAGATGTGGCAGGACAAGAAGGGAAAACAGACTTCTTTTGTCTTTGATAGTACAGCATCCAAATGCAAGAACAATTTGGTCGAGGGAATTTCAGTGCGCTTCATTGCACTCCAAGGTTTGAGACATGGGGAGATATTTCTACTCGCTGGCCATAGGAGAGGTCATCTAAAACCTAAGGTCCATTCATTGTGATTGTTTATTCCTGGAAAGAACTGTTCCTTGTCATCTCCATAAAAAGTTTGTGTGTTAGAATCTCTTTAAAATCCCTCAGTCTAGCGCAGGCCACGAGGGGATATAGAACCTCTGTAAGGAACCCTCCAGAAGGCGTTCCATCCAAAAGGACAATTTGTGTAATTTGTTTTTAATTGATCTAGATCCTGGACTGCAGGAGGATTTCCCTCTGGCTTCTGTATGTAGCGAGGAATCGTAATCCTCGCACGCTCCTAGCGTTCCCCCCTCATCCCCTGATCTGTGAGGCTTAAAGAGGCAGAAGTATTTCTTGTGGCCGTTCAGAGCTAGGACGTAGCCCGTGTAATCACGCTCCAGGAAGTGCTTGTCGTACTGATTTGGGATGGGGGCAGCATCCTGCGCGAACTCTAACAGGTACTCCAGCCATTCTCGGTGCTTGTCCAGGCTGAGGAAGGAGAAATGAAGAGAGCTGCTCCTGCGGGAAGAACATAGGGGAAGCTGGATTAGCACGCCTCCCAAGCCAGGCTGGATTCCTACAGGACAGGTTAGCGTTTGTAAACGAGGGCAGATGCAAAGCCGTGTTTCCATAGCGCCTTTTAACCGAGTTCAGCACAGGTGGCAATCTCCTGGTGTGCAGCACTCTCACACTCTGTATTTGGTGAAATACAGGTACGGTGGAAGCGGCGGCAGCGCCAGACCCTTCCTGCGTCCTTCACCAAGTACAGCCAGCAAAGGGAGCGCAGTCACCGCAGGCCACTCCGTTTGTGGCTGCTCACCGCAGCTAACAAGTGCAGAGTCTGCTTTGCTCGCTAGAAATGTTCCCTCCCGGCAATCAAGCTAAAACCACTCCCAACCTTTCATCTGAGTAGGATTACACAGGTTGTTAAAAGAGTAACAGAAGCCCAGGAAAGGGCCTCCACCTACCCTGTGAATGTGTAGACTTCCAGGGCAAACTTCTGGAGCAGGGTGGTTTTGGTAGGGTTAGAAAGGATCAAGACCACGTTCATATGACCTGGCCTCAGGCGTACCAAGTTACTGTTATAGTTAATGTCCGTTAGCTCGGTCACCTCGACAAAGCCCTTTTTAGGGATCCTGCTGCAACGAAACAATGACCGAGTGAAAGGGGAACAAAGGAACCACAGTAACTGAGTACAGAGGAACACTGAACAATAACTCATCCCTCCCTTAAACTGATCCATTCCTATGCCCTGCAGTTAAAGACAATTTAATCAGTTCAGCCTGAACCTGCAAAAGCTGGAGTTGGACCTTCCTCAACAAGTCAGTCCTTTGTCATTCCATCAAGGAATGACAGTTTAGGGCAAGCACACAAGCTTATAGGGGGTCAGCACAGATAAAAAAAAAAAAATATATATATATTCCTTCTAAATACAAGAGATGAAGGAGTAGCTGGGTGGAAAGAGACTTGTCTTAAAAAGTCACAGCTTTCCCTGGACTCTCAGAGTCCAAAGCCCAACTTAGAATAGCTGCTTTCTCTCCTGTGTCAGTGGGACACAAACAATAAGTATGTTTCTGCACCCACGTCCTTGCCGACTTGGGTCCTGGCTAAACGCTACTGTTTCCCGCCTTTCCATCCGCGTAATGCCCTTGTCATGACTACACTATGTCCACGCAACTCAGATCATTCTCTACTGTCCACCTAATACCGCTCTCACTCTTCATGCATGACCCCCAAACAATACTTCAGCAGAAGATATATTTGGGGAAGTTAGAAGGGTAACCTGCTACTCTCTTTGCTGAAGCTCGTGTCGTTCTTTTCAGTTTTTGTGGTTGTTTCTTCTTTCTCAGGCGGAGGAGAGTCTCTTGCATCACTTGAGTCACTGCAAAAGAATATATTTTTTTTTGTTTAAAGGATAAGTTTGGATTCAGATGCTATGGGTTGGACTGTAAGATCCCCTCAGACATTTTGGCGTGCACTTACCTGAAAGCCTGAACAATAACGGTGCCAAAAAGAATGAAGAGCGCAGAGAAGAGCAAGGATAGCAGGGGCATCATTTCTCGCCTGAGAAGAGATTTGCAAACAGTAATCAGTTCTGAGAGTTGCATAGTTTCTGCGTGGATTTCAGTTCCTTTCTGCCTTAAATAATACCATGCAGTTTCTCTAGAAACTTGGCTCATTTTCTGGGGCCTTAAACATCATCGTGATTTTGGCCGCAGTGTTGCTCCCACCCAAAAGGACAAAAATGCATACACTTGAAAATAACACTAAGGGGGAAAAAAGGAAAAACAATGATCAGTAGGGCTGGTGTGTTTTCAGGAGCGTAATGTCTATGGGCATACGACTGACCTCAACTTCAAGGCCAAAGTACCCAGTAGGTGAAGCAGAAGTTAATGACGCTATGGTATTACTACTCTTCACCTTAATCTCAAGAGAAGGCAGGCCCCTGGGTATTTTGATAAGTTCTTAAATCCTCTTAGTATGAACCTGGGTCTATTATGCATCAGAACAAGACAACAGCAATCCCGCTGTATATCAGGACTAGTTAACATCCAATCCGTACCAGTTATTATGAAACAAACTGTCCCAGCAGTCTGAAATGTAATCCAGCATGGAGTAAAACCATCGGATAAGGAACATCTGTTAAGATTTAAGAAAAAAAAAAAAAAAAAGCCAATGACAAAACTGCTATCCATAGCATTGATATGCCCTTCACCCCCAAATCGGTACCCTGGGCCCAAATCAGCATCAGAGCATGCCAAGAACTCTTCCTTCCATGGATGAAGAAATTTAAGAATCCTGTCTCAGTATTTTATCAGCTGATGACAATTACGATGACAATATCAGCTGATGACAATTATGAAACTGTCCAAGAAGGTAACGCAGTCATTACACATCTGGAAATGCAACGCACTTACGGGAGCAAGTTCATCATTCAAGTCTGTCAGGACAGCGTCTGATGAGAGAAGACCAGGGTCTGTCCTCAACTGATCCAGAAGATCCAGAAGGATGAAGTTATCTTCTTTGCTGCCTTGCCAGGCCTCCTCCAAGGTTTTATAGGCAACTTTCCCTGCATTATTGCGCCTTTCCAGAATGACCACCTGGACAAGCCAATAACACCGCAGAGCTCAAACAAGAAGGTACTTTTTTTTCAGGAAAGATTTTATGTTTCAAATCACTGTCCAGAAATAGGTGTCAGATTAAGATATAACCACTCTTTAATAAGAGCATTTTTGGAAGAGAAGCCTGTAGTGGCAGAAAAAATAACAAGCCTACAAATTGAAGCAGTGACTCGTGTAGGAACCGCTCATAAGTAATAGGAAGCATTTTCAAAGTAAACCAAACAGGCAGCTAACATAAGTCTGAATGACAGATGAGAAGCAGCAGCAGAACAAGAAAAAGGCAGTACTCACAGCTGATTTTCCCCGATACTTCTCCTCATCCCTCAGCAAGGCGTCTGCAAATTCTGGCTGACGATCATTATAGATATGCACAAACCTCAGGGTGTCTTTTGTGTTGGCCACAGCAAAAGTCAAAAATGCCTCATAAGTCTCTGCGAACTTATCGCCTTCTCCAGTAAGTAGGACCACACAGTGCCTAGCCAACACAATAACATGGAGGATTAAGAGCCATTCTAGACACTAGAGAAAATCATCTTTCTACTAGCCAGAACTCATCCTGAAGAGCCAGAAACCTGATCTGTCATTTTCAGGCATACTTGTGAATGCCTTCTCCTGCCTTCTGTGTGATCAGCTTTCCAGTCTGGCCTCCTGTTCCTCATCCCTTCTGCCTGTAACTTTAAACAGGCTCTCTCCCAGGATATACCTAGTAAAAGCACATAAACTATTAAATGGTCAGTCCAAGGAGCCTTACTTTCGCTGACGATGAGACTTCTTCACAGGACACAGCTCCTGGAACAGCTTCTGGTTGGTGAGCCTGGCTGCCATGAGGAACTTATTCTGGGAAAGGAAGTCGTCAATGAGCTGCTTCTTCATATCGCGTGCCTAGGGAGGACAAAGAAAGCAGAAATCAGTACTGAGCAGGACAAGGGGAAGAGCCTCTCGAGTAGGGCTGTTCTAAAACTCTCCTCCAAAGCCTAGAGAGGGCTGCCAGGCATCACTGCGCTCACAGGAAAACCCCGAGACGTTTTGAGATTCTGACACCAAAGAGTTACCTGCAGTTATCCTCCACGAGAGGTCAGACATCATAACCGAGGCCTACGGAACTACCTTCTCTCCCAGTGTTTGCTCACTCCCTTTGCTAGAGCCCGAGTTTTTGCTGCGAATGAACGATGGTTACTTTGAACTGCTCCACTGACCATCTTCTGATAAAAAGCCTGGTCAGAAAATCCTCTATGTCCAGTTTATATAAGTTCTCAGATAGAACTCAGAGCAATACCTGCACAACATCCGCAGGCCTGTCGATCTGTTCCTTGAAGATCATCATGGTCGGAGTATAAACGTTGATGTTGTACTGACTGGACAACTCTTCGGTCCCTCTGAGTCCAACGTACACATAACCAAAGGACAAGTAATCTCTATATGCAAAGGCAGTCAGCTAGATGGGAAGAAAGCACCAGTGCAGTGTGTGTTTACATTACAGATCAAACAACATTTTCCCCCCCAAGTGCCTGTGGTACCTACTTCTCCTTTGCTGCAAAAACACCTCCCACTGTTTAAATGTCACTGGGCATGCACTGTGAAAGGTAAAAGCCTTTCCCTTCCCTAGCTGAATTACACAGTTTGCGTGTTCTTAGTCATCATATAGAAAGCCTCGACGGACGCACAGCTTTATTTTACAACCTGATATTCTGCATTGTAGCGGGGGTTTCTTTGGAAACAGGCTTTCCAATAACTCAAAATGAGATCTGCTGCAAAATTCTCTCATTATAAATAAAGGCTGGTACATCCCTCTTCCACCACTAACTTCAAAACCCACCCACACCTTTACTTCCACTAAGGATATGTCGGTGACGAGACAAAGAAACAATCTCGGGGTCAGATCTGAAGTGCTCTTCCCTCAGTAAGGTCAGTCATCGGACCATGCCATTTCCAAAGAGCGCAAATTAACTTGCTCCCCTTAAACTAGTCAATACTACTTAGAGGCATCACTCAACCTCTACTCGCAGCAATATTGTGTTCTCTTTTGGAACAGGTGATTTATTAGTAAGTCAAAAAGCCACAGACAGAAATCACATTACCTTGTATAATAACGGCACATGTGGCATATGATCAAATAAAAGGACGTGGGGCTTATTTTCTTTCTTCCAGTTAGACAGAAAGCGGATGTAGTTTTTATCTGTAATCTTTAAACAGAATTAGAGCATTAGTTTCGGCTTCAGAACAGTTAAACACATATATTGCTATATGATTAGGTGTCTGAATCACAACCGAGTTTGAGAAAGCTCTCCAGGTGTCACAGAAGAGCTGATTGCGGATTTTTCTTTTAAGGGGTCACAGGTATGCCAAGGACCTGTGCTTTTTTGACTCAGGAGATTTAGAGAAAAAAAAAAATCACTCTCAACCTGCACCCACTCTACTAATTAGTCCATCCTCTGTCAATGCCGTTTCAAGTCAATGTTGATGCTACACTCATTCTGCACACACAACTGCTCACTGGGCAAGTTCTACACTGGAAAGACAAGGGTTAAAGGCACTTTTGGGCTCAATCAAACCTGCTCTGTTTCAGCTGCAATAGCATTTGGATCTGGAGGGAGGAGATAAAAGGGAGATCACAACTCATTGATGAGCCAGAGGTTTTTTAAAAAAAAAAAAAAAAAAAAAAAGGTCACGGAGTGGGATGGCAGACCCTCTCTTTTGGGGTTAGGGCTAGAATACAAGGAGAGATGTGATGTGACAAAAGATGGCAGTTTTAGATCCTTTGGGGAATAGCAGCCATTGCTGAAGACCCAAAGGAAAACCAAGGTGAGGTGAACACTATTCCTTTGAAAAGGGCTAGCATTCCCAGCTCCAGTTTCAAAGGTCTAATTCAAAATTTGCTGAAACAAACAAGAGGTCTTCGTATCAGTGAGATTTGGTGCAACAGATGATAATGCTGAGAAGTTCGTAAGGGGTCCTTAAGGTGCTGGGTGAAACCCAAACAAACGGGAAGGGAAGAGAAATCTAGCAAGTATGTCAGGCATCATCACAGTAGAATATTCTCAGCCTAGGTCAAGCGTGCAGCTTGCATCTAGGCTTCAAGGGCTGTACTAAGCCTAAGTCGGAACAGGCGTGAGCGAGCACCCACTGGGTTACAACCCCAAACATGAGGAAGTGCACAGCTTTCTTACAGCTCTTGTTGCCACAGAGTGCTGCAGCTGGGAGAGCAGCAGACAGCATTGGGGCGTAGGGGCAACCCTGGTACACCGAGAGCCTTTTCACAAAGAAAAGCGTTAGGAAGCCCTGTTGTGCAATTGCTTTAAAACCAGTTCTAGGGGTTGTAGCAGGAATTATGTCCCTCTCAAAACGTCTCAGTGCCCCAAATGCAAATCATTTCAGTTGCACCTTCTCATATTTGTGACGCTGGTCAACCTGGATGCCGAATTAAACGGATCAGCTGCCAAAAGAGCTAAAGAGACCTGCATATTCAGCAAACATGATAAGTAACAAAACGATCAAGTGATACTCCTACCAGCACGTACCTTTTCTACGAGATTCCCTGGCAGAAGGTTCTCCACAAATTGCCGCAGGTTCTCTCGAATAACAGCGTTGTGGAAGAATGTTATTTTCCCATTAATCAGTCCCAGAATTGATGGTGTACTATGTGCACCTAGGTGATGGGCAAGGCGTCTCTCATACCCAGCATGAACGACTCCAATTCCCACTCCTGAAAACAGAAAGCAAGTTCACATAAAAGGTCACACATGACCCAAAACTTCTTTGAGTGCGAAGGTATGTTCCCTTGTCTGGCACCCTGCTTGGGAGTTATTCATGTTATATTCCCTCTCAACTCTGCGCTTTCCTCCTTTTGCAATCCCCCGAAAATTGCATTTAAAAATCTCAGATTTATCAAGGCAGAGAGAGAACAAGCTGTCCTCTTTCGTTCTGCCTGCAGATATTTCATGCGGTACATTAAAACTCCAAGGCTGAAAGTCTTAGAAAGCAGGGACTAGAATGCCTTTCTCTCCTTCTGCTCGAATGATGACTCTGGGTCAGCTAAGATTTGCAACAAAACAAAAAGTTGCCCTCTGGGGAGGCGGAGGAAGGTAGAAAATATTTCCTTCAAATCCAAATATGTTTCCAATGCAGTACTTGGATCTTAAAACTTTGCTTGCAGCCTTGTATGAGAGTAGCCTTAAATTAGATTGCATATTCTGTAGGCATCTTTACTTAGATATCTTTACTACTTAGCAGTGCGATTAGCCCTTAGCGCTAAACCACTAGCTGTACAGACAGGAGAGAAGACATCCTGTGATCCACAGAACCCGTCAACCTGAGGGAAGGCCGATGAAAACACCACTGTTAGAAAGATGGTGTTTTCACACCACATCAAGATGGTGATGAAGAAAACTCTAGCTTTTTCTCATTTCTAACATCCAGCCTCATCAGTAACGTTGTTATTAGGACACAAGAAAGCATAAAGATCTTTGATAAATCCCTGAGGAATTCGACTGGGTAAACTCAGTCCTCCCAAGCTGAGAGCAATTGCTGCAGTTGACAACACACACCTTTAGCATAGTGTCATTCTGCAAAGACAGTGTGCCCGTCTTAAAAGGCTTACCCAGTGCCTCCAATTCCTGAGCAACTTCCTTCCACACAGGCTCAATGTGGATACAGCTGAAACACCAGTCTGAGGTTATTTTAATGAGGTAAGGTTTCTTGAAACTATCTGGCACGATTTCATTGATGTAGTGTGAGAAATGCAGCAAATACTTCTCATCGGAGGTGTCGCGTCTCTCCGAATTAAAGGGGAAATGGAAGAAGGACTCGTCAAAATAGAAGCCTTCGTGGAAATGATGGAACTGGCGATGCTGGTGCTGATGCTGAGAGTACCCCTGGCTCTCCCCGGCATCTCCATAGCGATCAAAGTTTGCCCTCTTTTCCTCATTGGAGAGAATCTGTGAAGCAGTAAGAATGGTTGACAAGCAAAATCTGGACTGTGGTAAGAGGAAACTGAAATGACAACAATCCCTTATGAAATAACTGAAGCTGCATAAAGACTGGATAGAAGGGAAAGCGCTGCCTTTTACCCTCTGATCTGCAGAAAAGTGAACTGTCACGTCACCTCCAGCCTCACTGTGGTAAACAAGTGCAAAAAAAGATAACACCAAAAGAAAAAGAGCATTTCATTCAAGAGCTCTGTACAAGTTTCTGACAAATACTGTTCCTAGAGCCCGAATTTCATACTTCTGAACAGCAATGCTGTTTTCTGGAGTGATTTTCACTGGTCTGCTTGAACATCTGAGGGCTTTTGTAACATCACAAAACGATAGAAGCGTTATTGAACAGGAAGCGCTATACAGAAACTACATTTTGGGGAGGGTACAAGGGGGAAGGGATGACTTTGTTTTATTTTCAGGGGCTTAGCTTGCTTGCCTAGGAAGTATCAGGTAAGGTGCCACAAAACGGAGCAGTTGATTTAAAGAGCCTTGATAAGTGACCTGCAAATAACTACTTTTGCAAATAATATGCAGAAGTGACTAAAGTTGCTTATATCATCCCCAGAATACACATAGGTAGGATATGGAAAAGACAGCCATCCAGCTTTGCAGCGCGCAGTGAATACCCTCTCAAGCTTGGTTTGATGCTTTTCAGCAAGAACAAGGCAGACCTGTCCATCTGCTCTAGCAAAATATTTCCAATAGTTGTTCTGAAACTCGGAAACTTTATATGCACAGAGGCCATACAGAGGTCTCTGTAGACAAAAACTTTCTTCTCTTCTCCATCTGCCTTCATAGAGCTGAGTACTTCTTCCATGTAGACATAAACAGACAAAGAATGAAGCCATATTTAAAAAAAAAAAGTTATTTAACTTTGATCTTAAAAACAGCACAAGTTTAGCAAGAAGAGAGCATTACCTCATAGGCCTTGCTAATCTGGATGAATTTATCTTCAGCTCCTGGGTCCTTATTTTTGTCAGGATGCCTAAAATGCAGAACCAAAGGAGAAGGTATTTTCTCTTTCCGAAGGAGTCAGCAATTTCTCACAGGCAGGCACAGCAAGTCACAAGAGTTGTCAGTCTCATTTCAGTGGTAAGCAAGATGCAGACAGTAAGGACCTTTAGTTGCCTCTCCTTAAATCAGATTTTAGTCTGAGCACCTGCTTTCCCTGGCCAAACTGATGCACGAAGACCCACAGAGGACGTAAGCGGTGTCTGCGCAAACCTATCCCCGTGCTCAGGTTCCTCATAAATGGCACAAGTCACAGACAAAAGGGTTTATCCTGTCATTAGGCAACATGGTCCTTCCCTACCAATTCCAGGGATGCATCCCTTAGCTGCTGCCCTACATACATCAGGCAGCGCAGCTACGAAGCTCTTCCTGTAAAATATCTCCTGCCATAGCATTAGATAACCTTTCAATCGAAACTACGAAGGCTGTAAAAGCTGCAGATGAGGACGTCTGCCAACGTAACACATCAGGCCTGCTCTTCAGCTTATGCCACTGAAGTGCAGGGTACAACACTCGGGCGGCCAACGCCTTCCTTTTCAAAGGCACGGGGTTCAGTGCCTTTGAACGTGTGTGATAAAAGCTGCCTAGCGTGACTGTTGCTGCGGTATCCGAAGTCCATATCCTTAGGGTTTTTAAATATTATTTAAAAATTCCCGGGATAGGCATGCAGAAGCCGAGTTGACGTTGAGTCAGCTCCGGCACCTAGCTACTGAGCACGTATATAAATATCCTGAAACTTAAAGAGTTGTCCATGTTAGGGTTTCCA